AATTCTGGGCTCGCACAATTCCAGGACGGTAGATTGGAACTAGAAAACTCATCCACTAAAAGCCCTTTGTTTCAAAGCATTCTGGCCCCACGAACTGATTTCCGATACGCCGCCCGATTAAACTCGCAACCCACAGATGAAGGTGACGTAAGAACAAAGTAGCAGAACGGAACGCATCTGTCTAACAAGGTAACCGTTGCGAGAAAACTTTACCAGATAGTTGCCATTCGAGCCTCCAGGTAAGGGAGATTCGGCGATCCGATCAGTGTAGAAGCCTTCGACAAACTTGCCTTCACGAGTAGCTAGTCCGATTCGTTGAATCCCGTGCTGGTCAGAAAATGAAAGCGGATGAAGCAAGGTACAGAAGAGCGATTGAATCAGCCCTTCGTTGTCATACAATGCGAAGAAAACACGAGAGCTGAGACAATTCCATGTCAATCAAAACTACACCGGATCGTGGATTCCACTGTTTGTATCCCGAACTGGTGGTTGAGAACTCAGAACAATCATGAATATTAATTTACTAAGATGATAGACATTAAGATACGCAAAAAGTGGTCGAGAACAAAAAGAGCGTCATTTGAATCCATTTGGGCGTTTTGTTTACTGCAAAAAACCATACCGTATGTTCAACAAAGCATCATTGTGGAACACTGATGTTATATTGATGATGACGACCGTGCGGTCAAGTGCAGTGTACCCAACTTCATACTACTAACTGCAGGTTAGTGAGTGACCCTTTGCGCTTAGTAGTTAATTCCGAATGAACCATTGTTTCACGACTGTCTTAGTGATTGCTGTCTCAAACATTGGTTAAAATGGAATGAGGGAATGTTTTCGTTCTGGGCTGAATCCAAATCTGCCTAGAATTACAAGTTCGGGTAAATAATGAGCACAAATTTGGTAGTCAGCTAGCTCCCATTCTTAGTTTATTCATTCACATACTTCGATCTCATCTGACGGATGTCAGTGGAGCATTACAAATAAACATGTATCGCGATATCTCGAATATCGTAGCGAGGCGGCCTGGTGCAGCACATTCACAGTTGCCTGGAAACATCACAAACAAGGGATTCAGCCGGGTTCCAGATGAGTCTCTCGCCAAACCAAATTAGTTAGCAAATGAATATATTTCGGTAAAGCTCGTTGAAATTCATGCATCGCCTCATGTGTACAGTCACAGGAAATCCACTCTGGGAAACATCCATGGGAGTGAACAGTAAATCCTATATCTTTTAGTACCCTTTCCTTCAAATTCAGCTTCTAGATGTGTCATGATGGACCTCTATTAAATGGACCCGAGAAACGGAGGCGGTCCGATCATGATGGGAAAGCTGATGACATCTATCCCATGTGACGCACTGCATCCTGTTCAGTATGAGGTGTGAAAAAGATGCCAACTGGTCAAAAAGAAGTAAAGCTCGATTACTGACATGCGCTGAGTGGCGGAATTTGCAAGAAAAACTGTTTAAGGTTACTAAAATTGTCTAAATGTCCAGGGGCGAGCGGCTCTAACAGAATATCGGGCTGATTGGACGGATGATTGACGGATTTCCTGACTACCCTTCACGATCTGTTGGATACATGAAATTCCGGGCAAAGGTAGCAACTTTGTAGATTGCAAGTATAATGAGATCTCGGCGAGTCATCTAAAGTGATATTAGTAGTCCGTTGGTAGCAGCCTTGCACGGAGTGGCTGACTTACTACTAAAAATGATTTCAGTAGTGAAAACTCACAAAAAGCAGGCTGCGGAGGCTGTCATTTGCTAGCACGCTGTCCACAATTTCTCTTCTATGGAACAGCCTTCAATCTACAGAGACATGACACCATTCGTTTCCGAAACCCTAAATTTCTTCTCAACTGTTCTCCACTTCATCAGCGGGGGAGTCACGTGACCAGTTTGGAGCCCACACACTGCCATTTTTCGCAAGTAGATGGTACGGTTCCATCGATAAAGAGGCAAAAGATTAAATCGATTGAATCGAATATGCACAAGTAAGAGGTATTCCAGTTTTCGACATGCGGATCACAAACACGTGATAGAGTAGAGAGTTATGAAAAAACTTATAATATGGGTATAGCACACCTGTGAATGAATAAACCTACCAATGCACGAAGTCGATCCCGTGCTTCCAGGCGAGCCGGCACTGGAACAGACGAATACATGCAATATAGGACAGTGACCGAATAAAGAGTCACGACAGCCAAACTAAATGACGTCAGGCTGGAATCAGTAACAGGAGTTGGCTACAGTCAAATCAAGATACATGTAACCACATAAAAATCTGGTCAGAGAACTGACCGATTCACCGCAGTGGATCATCATCGACATCAGCAACACTAGTATAATAATAGCGGAATGACTAACTGTTGCCATACCGATTCATATACATCAGACCGTATAGAAAAGAAGGAAGCGAAAAGTGTACTGCCAGCCTACCATCAGTACCATCCACTCAGACAAATTGGACGGAAATCGAAGTTGGTTACGGCCCATATGTTGCAACGTGTTCAGTCGAGCGTATTGAAGACCAAGCAGACCGCGTCTAAGAAGACGAACAAAACATACCGTCGTTAACTGCTTCATCTCTTCTGCTGCATAATGTTGCGTCGACCTTTTGGCTAGTCCTACTCAGAGCATAACGCCGAAAAAGACGCACCTCTCGGCAGATGGAACTGGGAATCGGTACCACACATTGCAGCACCTGATACCCCGCCAAATAATAGTTTCCTGACCATCACCTTACTACTTCTGTTCCATTACGCGAAACAAACAAACGGTTGAATACCGTGCGGCCTGACAAATGAGATGATCGGTCAAATTCGACACCAAGTAGCTGAGTGCCTGGCTGATAAGTCGCAGACGGCCCAACTGCTTCTGGGATAAGGTAAGATGCGACCGATCAGCTAATCAATTATTACACATAGTTCATCGTACCCCCAATGGCCAAAAGCCTCGTGATTCGCCACAAGCGATAGGAGACACACAGTCACTCCGGTTAAGGCGATCGACCTACGTGTATGTTGGATCTGCCCAGTTAGAAAACACGTTGTCTGACCTGATGAAGTAGCACCCACTGACTGGATCTGTCACCTAAAGTACATAGACGGATGGCGACTGAGTCCTTGTACGCACCAGGGGTTGATAGTGTGCCGCACTACTCGGCGAGTGGTTACACACAAGCATGATTTGTTTAAACGCACGAACTAAACACATCTACAACAGACGTCGCTACAATGGACACCGAACCAGGAAATCAAGTTGAATGGGTTTTTTTACATTGAACATTAATGGTGTTTGCCTGCTAATATGCACAAATAAAAAACGCGGATCGTTTTCAACATACGTGGTGATTCCAAGTAGAAAACCAATCGCGAGATCACAACTTACACGTCATCATATTCAGGATTGCAGTGCATCCCGGGTAAGCCATGCGAATACCAATGGTATGTGCGAACAGTCGCCTGAATAAACGACAAACAAGGTATTGACCTCTGAGTACTGCAAGCGAACAGCATTTATTACACAGAGCGATTGCAAGTTGAGTATTTGGAACACAATTGACTCTCCGTGAAGAGGCCAACCCTCCAGTTGTTTCTCCAGAGAAGCACAATCGTACAAACAACGGAAGTGGACAGAAAACAGCGAGAGGAAGTACACTAAAAAAACGTTGTCTAACAGCATACTTCAATGACGTAGAACACTACTCCCGTAAGGTTGCTGAAAACTCTTCGACAGTCCACTACCAATTTCGCCCTCGGTGGGGCTAACCAGCTAGGTGCAGTACGCGAATTTTCACCGACCTATTGGCGTAGCACATTCAGTTAAAGAACATCGTAAACTAGAGTTTCAGCTGGGTTTCAGATGAGTCTTGCGTAAAAACCGAATCGTGTATTTGTCCAATCTACTGCATCGTTATGAGAGGTCCCTAAAAAGAATCAGGAATAGTTGACCACCAAGATTATTGCGCAATGATCCCATAGGAAGCAGCTTTCTGAAGAGAAGTCACTCCGTTGCAGAGGCCACAACAACGACCCGGTGAAGCCGTGGTTTGGATACACCTCCCCCTTAAAAAAGGTCACACCTGGGGAAACCGAAGAGCCCCTATTGAAATGGCGTCCTTCTTATCAATAATTAATGCGAAAGATGGGATAAAGATAATCGTTCTGCTGTAGCATTCCTACAGTGCCTAACCGCCAAACCACCCGAAGGAAGCATGCGGGCTGGGGTACTGCCAGGTTGCCCAAGCCTAGACAGGGAGAGTCGAGAGGCAGAAGTCGGACTCAAACCACAGACTTTCCGGACAGCCAATTCGCGCTCTAACCACTGAGCTATCTGGCCTCCAATGCAACGGGCGCAATACCATCAGAGCCATTCCATACTCCGAAAGAATAAAGTGGGTAAATTCTGATAGTAAGCTCGAGCACGGTATACGGGTCATCGCTGTTTAGAAAAGGGACAAAAGTTAGCCTAGAAGGGCTAAGTACAATGAGGTTCACAATCAAATCGAAGCGTTCGATGGTAGCGTACTGAGTGAAGGTAAGTGTTGTAGGTGGTGGCAGGGTTTGTAGAGTGTTGTGTTCACTCTCGTGTGGATAAATCAGCATAATTGTGCCAGAACGAGTGTGAATAACGCATATTATTGTCCTTCTCAACTGAAAACCTGCTTAGACCGCCAACGGAGTATAAGGTTACCGTTTTGTGCCCCTCAAGGCACGTTTGGTGCGACAACCCATACTGGGTAGCTGCATCCACCGAATGAAAGCAAAAGACGAAAACAAAAATATGGGAATGTTCCTGACATCGCGCATAGGGGAGGAAATCTTGGATGCAGTGAACACGCTTTTATCATGTGTCACAACAGATCACTGTTTATGAAATACATGTAACATGATAGTGTGTACCATGCTTGGAGAGCTGAAAGGATAAGAATGATCGATTCTTAACAAACCTTGCCAAAGGGAGGATACTACAACAGATGAAGTTTCTCCATCTATCGCGAGGGTTCTCCAGGGGGGGGGTGATACGGAGTTGTGACTGATGACAGAGACAACGTGGCGTCCCCCGGGTTGTTGATCTTCACAGAAGGGTCTCTTTCAGTAGAATATTGGTTATTCCAAATCTGATATCCCTAAGTAGAAAAACAGCTGAACTATTCAGGAAGAAGTGCAACGGTCCTTTCTGATAAGAACTATCCTTCAGTCTTGATCAGTGGTTCTTCTTAGGGAGAAGTCTCTACTCGGGTACCTACCGAATCCTTGATTTGATGTAGCAGTTCTTAAAGATACGTAGTTCTAGAAAAAATCTATGGTGGTCGTTTACTTTTCAAAGTCTCTCTATTGATGTGAGCCGACGTGAATTCAGCAAACCCAAATTGGGTAAGAGATGAAAGAAGGGTCAATTTTTTGAAGTCTAGACACTTTAAACAGGTATTGTTTTTGGATTTCTTCGTGATCACGGAATCTGTTTGCTGTCCTCTGGCATCTGCTGCTTCACATTCCTTTGAGTTGTGCTAGCAGTCAGCCTCAGAGCTATTCTTCAATTACAGAACCTCATGTGCTGTGTAATGTTAAACGCCAATTCCTTGATACGCCCAGTTTCTGTAATCTTTGTAGCCGAATGTGATACTCCCCACCGCGTAGTGGTATCGATGAACTCCACATGATGAAACAACCTTGAGTTACCAGACCTCTGGATTATCGGAACAACCCGGTTGCGTTTACTACGAAGACGGCATCTACCTCCCAACCGGTTCCAAAGTTTGACTTTCTGTCCAGTATAACTGAGTAGGATTCAGTCATAATGGACTTTCATGGGACGGCTTAGACCTAGGCGATATCCTGCAGCCCTACGTGTCATTCGAGGGCAGATTATTCTGGCCCATATGTATCAATGCGTTTCAAGAGTATATCTAAATTTAATCAAGATGTCCTTTTACAGATAGATAGTGTAACGCTACCCAACTACTGCAACCGGTGTTTCAGGATCTTTCCAACCAATCATGTAAGTGAAAGCCCGACGCTGGGATGATTCGCTGAAGCAGAGATACTAATTGGCGTCGAAACCACTGGCGCAACAGCTGAAATGGATCTTGATCACTTTTGAATATCCAACTCGGTTGCTCGCTCAGTTTCCAGGGTGAGCTCTCCATCCATCACACCTAATACTCCTGAAAAGCTGAGTTCAAGAAACCGCGGCTACATTCACTGTTTGGTCGTTGATCACTGCGGAAAGCTGATGTTTTTTTACAGAAAAGTAGCTGGACGTACATGTATCATCAGTGACAGCACATCAGTGTTAAACAGTGATGCTTTACTTCCGTGGGAATCATGGTCGTAGCCGGGCTAATATACTGTCAGAAAAAATCGTTCAGGTTAGAACCCTCTCGGTGCATAGCTGTCACGCCACCCGAAGGTTGCGCGAGGGCAGGGATACTGCCAGGTTGCCCAAACCTAGACAGGGGAAGTCGAAAGTCAGAGGTCGGGTTTGAAACCACGGACCTTCCGGTCAGTAAATTCGCGCTCTAACCACTTGGGTCATATCGCCCAATATATACTGTCAGGATGACTGTGACCCTCAATCAAAGACCTTGGCACAAAAGCCTCATCGCAAGGCAGTTGCGTTTGGTGAAAAACGCCAGTGCATTACATATAAATCGCCACGAATTCTCAGAACCCCGAGATGGAGCACCAGGAGATGACTGAACCAGTAATCATCGACCAACCAGATACGAGACTGTGAATGTCGCGCGAACATCCCCGTTCAGCGGGTCACGGAGGCACACAAGACACCACATCATGGTAAGGCCGTGATGGCTACTGCTATTAAACTTGTTTTACCAACCCGTGAGAGGAGATACGTGGTCCAAGGCGATCAACGAACGTATCCTCAAAAAACTGAAAAGCATTGTGGCTTTCCGACGCTACTGTAACTTCCCTAATTTGGATTATCTGAGCAATGCTCTCCGACATCCTTTTGAATGAACTGAAAAACCTGTTGTTTAGCTTTAGCTAAGAACATACTAATCCCCACGAATTGATCACCTGGGGACATCGGGTTTCACAGGGGATTCATCTCATCAATAGTCTGGAAGGTATCCAGGGCTAACTGGACGAACCATCAATGAGCCTACGCCCAAAGGTACAT